TCCATGAATTATGATGCGTTTACTAGTACAAAATATCTTTTTGCATAACATTGCAACCTATTTAAACCATGTTAACTCTCAATTCTGTTATCTAATTTCAATAGTTATCCCTTTTCAAGTCATCTATGGGTTTTAAAGCAAGCACCCTAGATCTTCATCAAAGTCATTCATAAAAATTTTGAACAAGAGAAGAACCAAGTCAAAGGCATCTGATCCTTCACCAGGGACCACTCCCGGACCCATACTCAGTAACCCACACAGCTGGCATGTGCTGCTTCAGCTGGTCTCATGCTTACGAAGCAATCCTGGTAGTCTATGCAGCATGATGAATGCTTTGTTGAAATTAACATTCACTTATCTTTCCAAACAAAGTGTAAAAAATCTACACATATGTAAAAAAATACATGCACATGCATCGGACTAGAAAAGTAGGAGCATCAATACAAATGTTCTAATAGTAGCCTGCAGACATTGTTTTTTTTTTTTTTTATTCAATACTGTCTTTGCTACAGTTACATTGTTTTAAAAATTGAAGACACTGGGAATTTTGCTTAGAGAGCCTTTTGCTTGGAGGCAGTTCATGTGAAACAGCTTTAAGAGCATTGAGGCTCTATCTGATCCCACCAACCTGAAAACCCCAATCAGGAAAAATAGTTGAAAAGACTTGTTGATCCTAAGGAACACCCACTTCTTTTTGTTTTTTATTTTAATTATGCATTGCTGCTTTTGGTTTAATATTTCTGGAAATCAGGGAGATAGCAGACTGGATCCTGAAGTTTAGAAAAAGACTGGATGTTTTTTGCATCTGTCTGTCATTGTCATGTCTGTCTCTCTGTCTCTATTCATTAGAAAGAATGAAAAGAAAAACAAAATCATCATGTTAATATTTCTGTGAAGCTCCTGACTGAAACAGAGCTCCGGCCCAAGAATCTCTAACAGACACATACACCCATATCACCTATTCATCGAGAGTCCCTTTTAACACTAAGGGTAGAATCAGCAATAGAATTTGCACCGCTGTTTAGAATTGAGGTAAGGGTGCGTGTAAAGAAAAGGTGCCTAAGAGAGTAAGTGTACTCAGTAAAAAAGAAACAGGAACAAAGCAACAAGTTATTTGGGAGGAAATGTGATCTATAAATACTGCACATATTAGAATCCAAACAATCTGAATATCTGATTGAGAAATGTTAACATGTCAGGAGTTTCTTCACTATTTCAGCATTTTGGTTAGAGCATGGTTTTCATAAAAGAAAACCAGTGTTAGAAACTGGATGCATGTTATCTTTATCTCTTTGAGGCTGTCTCTTACCAGTATTTTTTCATTAGAGACAGGCAAAATCCCAACTTTGCTTAGAAATACAATCTGTCAGTTGCACTAGAATTAAAACTAAATATATGAGGTAAATCAACAGCTTTTAGATTTATGACAAACTCTTATAATAAATGGATAAAATGATCAAACACTAAGTCCAGTTAATATTTAACTACTGAAAATTTTACTTTGCTTAGAAATACATTTTCCCACCATACTAGAAGTTAAGCCAAATGTATGTGGTAAACCAGCAGGTGCACAGGTCCATAGCAAATTATTACTTAAAACAGATTAAATGTCCAACTAGAAAGGACATTTATTATTTGACAAATGAAAATTCCACTTTGCTTTGAAATACAGTTTTCCAACCATTGGAAAAATTAAGCTAAATGAAGTAAATCAACAGCTTCACAAATAAATGGCAAATTGTTATAAAATAGATAAAATGTTCAAATAGAAAGTCTAGTTATTATTTGACAGGTGAAAATCACATTCTGTTTTGAAATACAATTTTCCCACTAAACTAGAAGTTCAATACAGTTTGTAAATCAACAGATTCATAGATGCACAGAAAATTTTCGGTAAGATGGATTAAAATGTCCAAGTACAATGCCCAGTTATTATTTGATAAAACAGATAATGCACATTAGCAACTCTTTTGCTTTATATGTAGGCTTGTGCAAAATAGGTAAGAAATAGTCAACACTGGCAACAAATACCTGAAAAATTCAAAATTCATTTACAATTCTAAATGTCAAAAAAGTATTTAAAATTCTTCATTAATATTTGGGGTAGTTTTAAATGTTGTTTTGTTGCTTTAAATAACCCAAAAATGTTATCTAAAGTATTTTCTGTTAACCTTGTATTTTATTTTTATTTTTAACATTTTGTTATTTCAGATGAGAAAGTTTAATCAAACCTACTTATTATTGATTGTTCCCCTTGAATATTCTATTTCTAAGGCAAAGAAAATATTATTTCATATGTAGAGGGATAAATAACTCAGGAAATACACCAAAATGATAACTATATATATGTTACAATAGTGAAATCAGAGAAAATTCTCAGTTCTCTATTTATAAATATTTATGTACTAGTGTTCATTTAAAATTTTAATTTGAAAAAGTAATATTATTTCCTTTTTTAAAGGTCTCTGAAAATATAATGTTATTTGACAGTTAAGTCTCCTTGAAAAGAGAATGGAGAAAAATTAATCCAAATTTTAATTTTAAAATCTATATAATGCAACTCTGAAAAATATGTATTAGAGAAAGTCTAAAAAAGTAAACTCTATAATGTTTACTGGGGTTATCTTAGAATAAAGTTACAGGTGATCTTGATTTTCTTCTTTATTTTTTTCCAGTTTTCTGGAGTATTTTTCCCTGAATTTTATACAAGGAATACAAATTAACTTTATTGTGATAAAAATAATAACTAGAGCTTTTTTTTATTTAAAAAATGCTAGTTAACATTTTGAAATAAAAAATCAATTGTTTCAAATTTGTTCAAACTTTGAAAGTCTTGGGATAATTTATAATCGTGAATTTTCCCTACCATCTACACTGGTTTTCAATCTCACTTTTTATAAAAGAATAGCTATTAGTTAACAACTAGATGAAGTAACTCTTCTGGATTAAGAATTTGACATTTCAGTGGTCACCACAATACTCTAGCAAACACAAGAAATCCTGATTATTATTCTATCTGGCAGAAAAGGGTGTACATCCTAAAGATTAAGAGGCACTTCTAAAAAGTATAATTGTGTTCCCCAAGTCCCTAGAAAAATATCTTTCATTGTTGGAAATCGGCGCTTCATTCATTCATATATCTAATGATCAATATTTTATTTCTGATAAAGAAGTAAAATATCAGTAAAGGTGCCACAATTTTGTTTATTTCTAGGAAGGCTCGGTTTAAGTTGGATCCCTGCCACCCTGTCATCTGTAACGGTTAAAATTCTTATTTATCCTCGCAGTATAAATAATCTGTAGCAATGTTACTAAACTATGCTGAATTCTAGCCTTCAAATACAAATGTGTCTCATCCGTTTAAGGAACCTCACTCAGCTGTAGACAATTTGCTTTCCCGTTTTAACTTAAAATTCTTTTGCACTGGTTATCAACAGATTGTCCGTTTTCTTAGCGCCTAACACTTTGGGGCGCTTAAATGGAAATTCGCGCTGAGTTTTTTTTAAAAAGGCAACCTTCCTCATCATTTAAATGAGTCTTGTAACACTCTGCAATTTTCTCCAGCGTAAAATATGTGTATGTTTATACGTACACATACACACAAATATTTGTGGCTGAATCTCGGCAACGCACTTAAAAGGAGTAACAGAAGGCTGCCTTGACTAAATATATTCATTCTCTTTAAGATTTACAAAAACGTAACGTTGCAGGGAGAGCTCGGTCTCCGCGAAAATCTCGCAATCACCACCCAAAGGCCGTGGCCGCGAGCCTCCGAAGCCAGCCAAGCACACTGGAGGCATCCACAGCTGTTTTTAATTGTTTTTGCTTTCTCCAAATAGTGCACTTAGTGGGGCAAATGGTGCTGTTTGCAGCGTCTCTGGCCGCCAGCCGGGGTTAACCCTGACCTGAATGCCTGCTTAGTTCCAGCATTTCATGATTCCGCTTCCCGGCTCAGTAAAACCTAAGAAAAACGAGATATCCGCCGCCCAGAAATGCGCTCAGTAAGAGGGGGGAATTCGATGTTTCAAATGCACATTTTTCTGTTCTCTCTGGATCGGATTCAAGAAAGGGAAAAAATGTGTTTATATAGAGGGGGACGCAGTTTGACACCCATTTTCTTTGGCTCACCTCTGGACCACAGAGCCTCAATCGCGGGGTACGGAGCCCCCCAGAAAAAATGGGCAATGACCCCCAGCTCTTTGATGCAAGGATCGGGAGAGGTCCACCACCGGAGCTGGAAGGGGGGGGTGGGAGGGGGGGGACAGGGATGGGAATAGAAATTGGAGATAAAATTTCTGCGTTTTCTGGGCAGGGAGGGGCCTGCGGGGGTGCAGAGAAAAAGAAAAGGCCAGGGGTCAAGCCTAGGAAGCGACGCACAAAAGGCTCGGAAGTGGGGTGGGTGGCGTCCAGGAGGAGGGGGTGTAGTGGGGACCCAGGCAGCAAGAGGGGCTGACGCCCAAAAAAACGCACCCGGGTACCCCAAAGCAGGGCGGGGGATGGGAATCAGAGGCCTGTTGGCCTCGGTACCGCCTGTCGCGCGCGGGCCACTAACCTGTCAGCAAGAAGGTGCCAGTGGTCGAGGGGCTCATCCTGCGTGTCCCCCGACTCTGTCTTGTCCACGCACAAGGGTCGCCCAGCTCCCACCACGGGGGCAACTGCATTCTTGGCCTGGCTAGGCCAGCCGTCCTCGATTCTACCCTCCCCTCCCTTTCTTCTTTCCTCCCAGCTTGGCCAGTTCAGCATCAGCATCCTGCTCCCCCTCCTAATCCCATACTCCCTCTAGCGGCGGGCCAGTGTAGTGAGCCCATCGCCCCCACCCCCATCCTGCCCGCCCCCACACCCCTCCGCCCCCCTAACCCGCGAAGCACGCTGGGATTTGGTGCCCCCCTCCTCTGTTCAGCCTATATAAGGCTCCCAGTCCGTGCTCTTGGTACACGCGCTTCAACTTCGGTTGGTGTGTGTCGAAGAAACCTGACTGCGACCTGGGAGAACGCGGAGAGGGTCCACCGAGCCTCGCGAAAGGTCCGCTGAGCGGGCTCGCAACCGGAGCCACTCCGGGTGCAGAGTTCCCGGCGGAACCCACGCCTGGCATAGGTGTGGGACCCCATCTTTCCTGTCTTCGCAGAGGAGTCCTCGCGTGGTGAGTATGCGGTGAGGACGGTTTTTTTGTTTTTGGTTTTTTTAGATCACATCATTCCCCGTTCTTATCGGGAGATGGAGCAGCGCCCCTGAATGTCTCCGCGCAAACCTTGTCACGCCTTCACTGGCTGTACCCCAAATCAGTGGAGAAGCCAAGCCTTAAGGGTTTTGATTTCCAGAACCTAAGTCCAGATTTGGTCTGTAGACAGACATGAGCTGCGGACAGACATGAGCTGCAGACGGACTTGATCTCCAGACCAATTTAGAATTTGCTCTTCAAATGCACTACAAAGTGATACGCGCGAAAAACTAATTGGTGCTTAATGCGCTATGGACTGATAAGCGCTTCAATTGCGCTTCAGACTGATAAGCGCTTCAACTGCGCTAAGGACTGATGGGCGCTTCAGTGCGCTACAAACCAGTAGGAACTGCAGCGATATATGAGCTGCAAACTGATTTGCGCTTTAAATGCGCTACAAAATCTGAGCTGCAGAAGATTCGTGCTACAAAAATGATATGATTGCACTACAACAGCGCTTCACTGCGCTACAAGGCACAGGAACTGCAGAGGTACAGGAGCTGCAGAACAATTTATACCTTCAAATGCGCTATAAAGTAATAACAGCTGCAGAGATATCCAAGCTGCACTGTTTGGCGCTACAAAGAAACCAGCCGTAGAGGGATATAAGCTGCAGAGTACAATTACTCTATCTTCTTAGAGGGGGAAACCCTACCCTTTGTCTCTTACATACCTTTTGGAATGGCTCCCACTATGTTTTTCTGCAAGTCGGTTTTCTGCGTGCCGGTAGACAAAATGGAGCCCCAGGCAAAAATTAGTGTTTAACATTCTGCCCACACCATTCCTGCTATAGCAGTGGAGTGGAGGGGCCCTAACTTGAGTGTAAAAGGGAATATTTTGGTGATGGCAGAGCGAGCTGCCTTGCCTAGTTGCGCTTGATTGAAGTTGTAGTGGTGGCGCGAATAGGCGTCCAGCAACAGTTTGTGAAAACTGTTGGTTTGCTTAGTATTGGGGAGGGATTGGATCTGGAGAAAATTCCTCATGTTGCATGAAATGAAGCTGGCTGTTGGAGGCTGGTGGGAGGGGTTTGGGGAGGGGGGATTCTGGGAGAGGCATGAAGCCAGTCTCAGACCTGCCCCGCCCATTCTAGCGTGCCTTCTCTGCAGTATCTGCTCAGAGTGGGTTTAGCGCCTCCCAGAGCCTACCTTGAACGTGCCTCCTCTGCAGCGCGCCTTCCCAGAGCGCGCCTTCCCAGAGCGCGCCTTCCCAGAGCGCGCCTTCTCAGAGCGCGCCTCCAAGAGCGCGCCTTCCCAGAGCGCGCCTCTCCAGAGCAGCGCCTCCCCAGAGCGCGCCTCCAAGAGTGCGCCTCCCCAGACCACGCCTCTCTGAGCCCTCCTCCTTTGAGGTGGCTCCCCCAGACCCCGCCTCTCTAAGCCCGCCTCCTTTGAGTGGCTCCCCCAGGCCCCGCCTCTCTAAGGCCTCCTCCTCTGAGGTGGCTGCCCTAGACCACACCTATCCAAAACTCGGCCCCTCCCTGAGCCAGCCTCTTCTGAGTTGGCATACAGCCCCGCCTCCCCCTGAGCTGCATGCACTTGCGCAGTGTGAGCTACCCCACCCCCATCAGGTCCACCTCTGCGCCTGCGTGTCTTTACTACCTGAGCCTGGCTGCACAGCCCCGCCCTCCTGTGGTTTCTCTGCCGTACCGGTTTTGCTTTCTATCCACAAATATATAATAAATATAAGAATAATAAAGAACAATTAACAATAGTAATTATATCTGGAATTCATAAGCACTTTTTATAAATGCTTTGCATATGTTAAGTAACATAAACCCACAATTTAAATTCGTGATAGTGGGTTATAAAGTGTGCCCCTAAATTGACAAGCCTGGCGCCTCTAAAGGCAATCCAGCTAAATGTTTTACTACAAATGAAAAATAAAATGTTTTAAATACCTTAACACTTAAGGTGAAGGTCTTTGGTTTTTTTTTTTTTCGACATTACTGGACCTCTGTAGTACCTACACCTTGGTGGATACAAAATAAAAAACAACTTGAGAACTGTTCTATAGGAGTTTTAAGTGGCTTATTGGGTGTGCTGGCTTGGTCTCTGAGCAAGAGTGAGGGGTTTATCTATGTGCCTACGAAGCTGGATTTTTTCTTGGAACTCTAGGGTATTAGCCCTGGCTAACTTATCTACATATTTATTAATTGTGCCTGGCATATGGTAGGCACTCATTAATTATGTGTTAAATGACTAGAGTAAATTGTTTTATTCCGTGTTTTCCTTGGTGTCCACAGGTTTTTTTCTGGTGTTTTGCTCCTGGCTCTTTCCTGTGGTGCATTGCTTGCTTTATCTCGCTCACATTTAATAGGATATTTTTTTTTAAAGTGTGCATTTTAAAATTCCAATGTAAGCTGCAATTATAATACAACATAACTAAATTAATTTAAAATAATAATTAGCTTTTTAAAAAATAAAAAGCAAAAGCTAATTATTTAAATTTGGAGCAAGTGGATTATTTAATGGTACATAATTGTCATATTTACAATTTGTGTAATGTAACAAAGTGGTTACAGTATAAAATATAGATTGAGGGTTTTAACTGGCATTATTAAACATTTTTATAAAACAAATTCATACTTTACTGCCAGTTAGATGTACCATGCTTATGTCTCTAACTAAATGAAGAAATTGAAAAATCTGGTTCCATATATTATAAACCATGAACCAGGATTTTGTTATAGGGGTGAGGGTTGGGGAGTTTTGGCTCCCCAAAATCTGTCACACCCCACCCCCAACAAGTATACAAATATGTGCTTATCATAATTACAGCTTTCAGTAAGTCCCTAGGCCCCTGTTATCCCCCTTGGCACTCTGACCCCCCTTCCCCTTAGAAATTTTTTTTTTTTTATCCTCACCTGAGGACATTTTTTTATTTTTTGTTCAGATAGAGCGGGAGGAAGAGAGAGAGAGAGAGAAACATCGACATGAAAGGGACATATTGAGTGGCTGCTACCTGCACGACCCAACCAGGGCCGGGGACAAACTGCAACCCAGGTACCTGCCCTTAGCTGGAACTGAACCCAGGTCTCTCTGGACCACAGGCCAATGCTCTAACCGCTGAGCCAAACCAGCCAGGGCCTCTTAGAAATTTTTTATCTGCATTTTAAATTTTTTATCTGCATTTCAAACCAATGGTAAAAACATGTACATGTTAATGAACTTGCATTTCATAAATAACACACTTAGTACTCAAAAAGAAATTTAGACATTTGAAAATGTAAACGAGAGTTGGTTAATGAAGTGTAATTTCCTGACAATGTTTAATGTAGCGCAGATTTTGCCTACTATTGCTCTTTGGTATGTTTGGGGAATAGAAATTTTTAGAGATTATTCTGTAGAGTCAAAGATTAAACACACATGTATTATTTAATTCCTTAAAAGACTAACACTAAACTCTTGGTGACTTGGCTTTATGCTGGACCATCCTTTCAGGTTTTAGGAATGGGGCCTCTTGACAAAACCCCACTCCCTCACTTCCCCCCCATCGCCATCCTCCCCCCTCCCCCCTCTCCCCAATCTGGCCCTTATTAAGGGGGCATTTAAGGAGCTATAGTTCTGTAATCCAAATCCAGTCACAATGCTCCTGTTCCTTTGTTAACCTGTATTCTGGTTGCTGTTAAACATTTTAAAACTTTACTTACACTGATAGTTAACCTGCCAGCCCACTACCCTCTCACTTTTAATGGTTAAAGTACTCTGGTCTGGGCATTTATCCTTTTTAATTCTACTCCAAAATTATAATTCCCAAAGGTGGGGGTACCTGAGGCCTCATATTAGTAAAGGTCAGGGGTCACAAACTGGTGACTTTGCAGGCCAAATAAGGCCCTGAATTTTGTTTGACCAGCATTGGATTTATATTTTTTTTAAGAATTAAAATAATTGAATGTATTTGGGAGAGGGGAAGTCATGCATCCCAGAGTGACATAGTTGCAGCCCCTCCCTATTGTCTGAACTTCATTCTCTTCTCACTTTTATGTTACCTTCCTGTCTACCAAAAGTATTTGAATTGTAAACCTTTAGTGATCTTCTGTTTCCCTAAACAATTCAGTGATTGTTTGCTAATTTCCTAATATGTTGTTATTTCTGACTTATCATTGTGTTTTGCAGATGTTAAATCCATCAGGCGTGGGCCTCAATAAAGCCCACCCAATGACTGTGATTGACACATAGGTTAAGCTTTCTGACTTGGGTCAGTCTGCACCAGACCTTTTCAGAAATCTGTTTTGAAAGTATTAATGTCTAGATGACAGAAATGGCACCTGAATCACCTGACCTGTGCTTATTAGTTTTTAAATGGGACAATAAAATTATTTATTCATTAAATTTAATAAATAAAAATTGCATTATTTTGTGATCTTATATTCTGAGTGTCACCAGTATAATTGTTTTTAAGGAGTTGGAAATGAAACTAAATGTCAAACTATGGTATGTTAATTGTTGCATCTTCTAACTTTTTAAAACTTGAATATTTTATCTTGAATGTCAGTTATTCATTGTTTTTGTAGCCTAAGTTATTAAAGTAATTAACTAGAAAGTTAAAACTATTAAAATGGCACAGCAAATTTGTCCCTTAAGGACTCTGCTTGCTATATAAGCCACTCCTTGGAGAGTCTGCACCAAAAGCACAGGGCACAGGGAGAGTGGCTGTGGGTATCCAGGTTGGGACAAGGGAGTGACCTAAAGGATTAGGAGGGGGTCTTGGGAAAGAAGGAAGAAGGGGTGTTTCTCCACAGCCTGGAACAGAACTCAAAGTTTACAGGTATATTTGATTACCATCACTTTTTTTTACTTGTGTTCTATTGGTTGAAATAGTAGCTGTTTTTCACCTAACTTCTCTAAATAACACATTTATCTTTGTGGTTTTATTTTATGTAGTTAATTTGGTGCCCATTTTTACCTGTACGGGTCAGAGAGCAACAGGACGGATTGCCAAGGTAAAACCTAGTGAATAGGCAGCCTGCCTGCTTTATATACATTATGCTTCTAAACTTTCGAGCACTTTCCTAGAGTTTTACAAAAATTAGAATTTGATGCTCATTAAAAAAAAAATCACTGAAAAGTTGAAATAATTTAATTGCTTTAAATAGATTTAACCCTATATTCAGGAAGTATATAGGCACTGTGTGATGATATAGTATGTGATTTATTGTCACCAGTCACATAATTAGGACATGTAGTCTCTTCTCTCCAGTACCCACACTCCCCACACCACTCACCCCTTGGAGTTCAGTCCTTATCCAACTCTAAATTACAAACTTTCAGGTAGAGCTGCACTGATCCAGCTCCAGTTTAAACAAATCCAGTTTAAAAAGCAGGGATTGTGAACTGGTGACCTGCAAGTCAAATTAAGCCCTGGATTTGTTTGACCAACAAAGTATTTTAAAAAATAGTATCTTAAGGTGGGAAATGCATGCCCAGGTTGGCATAGTTGCAGCCCCTCCCTGTTTTAATGCCAACCTCTTTCCACAGAAAGTAACCTTTTCTGTTTTCTTATTAGTAACTTTATTAATATCAGCTAACAGTTATTGAAAACTCACTATATGATTTAACTGCATTAATGAAATCCTTACTATAAGTTTGAGGGATGCTATTATTTGGTCGTCTTCAGTGTCCTATTTTATATATAAGCCCAGCTCCTCCTAGGAGATAGCAACTGGTATTTGTTGATTGTCCACATAATAGGAAGGAAAACATACAGACAGACATGTTGCTGCTCAGTGCCATTTCTGTCTCATAGGGAATTCTCTCTGGGAAATCAAATTATGGTAAAAAAAAAACAACTAATTACTAATTTAGACAATCCTGTTGGTTTTGTGGCAGACCCCACTCCCCTAGTCCCCCCACCCCCCACCCCATAGGCTGGAATATTATTTGTTATTCAGGTAACTTCTCAAATAACAGTTATTATTTTGGCTTTGTTCTGTGTAATTTATTTGGTAGCCATCTTTACCTTGAACGTTTCTTGCTCTGCTCTCTGAATTCAAAACTACTTGTTTGGAATGTCTCAGCATTCTTTTATAGTCAGTAAAGTTAAGCAGAGTACTGTTGATACATTTATGTATTGTTGAATCATAATGAACAGGTGACTTTTGAGGAAAATGTCATGTGGACATCAAAAAGAGGGTTGTTTTTTTCATTATCTATGGTTCTTTGTAGGAGTTTTGTTTATTAACTTAATGTAAGCAAGTAAAGAGACTTTAAATACTCATGTAATTAGAATACTTTAGTAGATACTTTAAATGCTAATTTTTTTCTTTATATTGTGCTGCTTTGACTGTATGTGTTGAATTATGCTTTTATCCTCATTTACAGAAACAAAAAGCTTTTGAAAACAAAAAGAAGAAAGAGTGGAAGAGGAGGCCAGGATCCAGGCCTCCATCCTCACGGGAGTGAAGCTACATCTGGGAGGTTTCCTCCCACCCCAACTTTCACCCTGGGGCCCGACTGCCCACCTCCTCCTCCTCCTCCTCCCCCTAACGACCCCTCCTCCTCTTCACACAGCTGCGAAAGGGGTGAGTACATCCCCAACCTGGCTGAACGCCAGCGGGAGGATCTCTCCGAAGAGATCAACAACCTTAGAGAGAAGGTCATGAGGCAGTCCGAGGAGAACAACAACCTGCAGAACCAGGTGCAGAAGCTCACGGAGGAGAACTCGAACCTCCGTGAGCAGGTGCAAGTGGAGCCTGCCCCCCAGGATGAGGAAGATGAGCTGGAGCTCCGCGGTGCTGCAGCGGCTGCTGCCCCACCCCCTCCCATTGAGGAAGAGTGCCCAGAAGACCTTCCCGAGAAGTTTGATGGCAACCCAGACATGCTGGTTCCTTTCATGTCCCAGTGTCAGCTTTTCATGGAAAAGAGCACCAGAGATTTCTCAGTTGACCGCGTCCGCGTCTGCTTCGTGACCAGCATGATGACTGGCCGTGCTGCTCGCTGGGCCTCCGCAAAACTGGAGCGAGCCCATTACCTGATGCACAACTACCCAGCCTTCATGACCGAGATGAAGCACGTCTTTGAAGACCCCCAGAGGCGGGAGGCGGCCAAACGCAAGATCAGACGTCTGCGCCAGGGCATGGGGTCCGTGGTCGACTACTCCAATGCTTTCCAGATGATTGCCCAGGACCTGGATTGGAATGAGCCCGCGCTGATTGACCAGTACCACGAGGGCCTCAGCGACCACATCCAGGCTGAGCTCACATGCCTCGAAGTCGCCAAGTCGCTGTCGGCCCTGATCGGCCAGTGCATCCACATCGAGAGAAGGCTGGCCAGGGCGGCCGCAGCCCGCAAGCCTCGCTCCCCACCGCGCGCGCTGGTGTTGCCGCACGTCTCCAGCCAGGTGGATCCCACCGAGCCCGTGGGAGGTGCGCGCATGCGCCTGACCCAGGAAGAAAAGGAAAGACGCAGAAAGCTGAACCTGTGCCTCTACTGTGGGAATGGAGGTCACTACGCCGACAACTGTCCTGCCAAGGCCTCGAAGGCGTCGCCGGCGGGAAACTCCCCGGCCCCGCTGTAGAGGGACCTTCAGCGACCGGGCCAGAAATAATAAGGTCCCCACCAGATGATGCTTCATCTCACTTGCAAGTGATGCTCCAGATTCATCTTCCGGGCAGACACACCCTGTTCGTCCGAGCCATGATCGATTCTGGTGCTTCTGGCAACTTCATTGATCACGAGTACGTTGCCCAGAATGCAATTCCTCTAAGAATCAAGGACTGGCCAATACTTGTGGAAGCGATCGATGGACGTCCCATAGCATCGGGCCCAGTTGTCCACGAAACCCATGATCTGGTAGTCGACTTGGGAGATCACCGTGAAGTGCTGTCATTCGACGTGACTCAGTCTCCATTCTTCCCCGTCGTCCTGGGGGTGCGCTGGCTGAGCACACATGATCCCAACATCACCTGGAGCACGCGCTCCATCGTCTTTGATTCTGAGTACTGCCGATACCACTGCCGGATGTATTCTCCAATACCACCGATTCTGCCACCACCAGCACAGCCGTCCTTTTACTACCCAGTAGACGGATACAGAGTTTACCACCCAGTGAGGTATTACTATGTCCAGAATGTGTACACTCCAGTGGATGACAGCGTCTACCCAGATCACCGCCTGGTGGACCCCACCATAGAAATGATTCCTGGAGCACACAGTATTCCCAGCGGACACGTGTATTCACTGTCCGAACCTGAAATGGCAGCTCTGCGCGATTTCGTGGCCAGAAATGTGAAAGATGGGCTGATAACTCCAACAATCGCACCCAACGGAGCCCAAATACTCCAGGTGAAAAGAGGGTGGAAGCTGCAAGTTTCTTACGACTGCCGAGCCCCCAACAGTTTCACCATCCAGAATCAGTATCCTCGGCTCTCTATTCCCAATCTGGATGACCAAGCTCACCTGGCAACATACACTGAATACATACCTCAGATTCCAGCGTACCCCACTTACGGCACATACCCGACCTACCCAGTCGGATTCGCCTGGTACCCAGTGGGAAGAGATGGACATGGACGCTCGCTCTATGTCCCTGTGATGATCACTTGGAATCCGCATTGGTACCGCCAGCCTCCGGTACCCCAATATCCGCCACCGCAGCCTCCGCCCCCGCCGCCGCCCCCACCGCCGCCGCCATCCTACAGCACCCTGTGAATTCTGTCATGTCTTTCAGGATCTCTGCCCTCAAAATGTGTATCTGGTCAGCTTCTCAATCAGTGACTGTGTGCTAAATTGGTCTACTGTGTCTTCAGGCCCACCCGAGGTGCAGTCCTCTCTGAAACGGCTCCAGAAGGTCGGGGCCACCCTGGACTGGCACACATCCTAAAAGCACCAAAAGATCCCTACCATTTTCTGGGAGTAACAGAATATTGGCCAACAAATTATCTGTTTTCCACCTTCACTGCCAATTCTAACTAAAATTCGTAATAAGTTTACTTGTAACCCAGTAAATCTTGGAAACCCGAATCAGTATTTACAGAGAAGCTGATGCAAACACAGGAAGTGCTGTTTTCTTTGTGGAGGGGGAGACCAAGAGGGGGAGGACATGACTTTCTTTGCAGTTTCGGGACTCTCTTTACATCATTGGAGGACCGATGCCTTATTAAGGAAGCCACAATTCTTGGTGCAGTGTAAAACGGCTTCCGTGATCTTTTTGCTGCACCCTCAGAGACTTCACCATCTTCAAACTTCTCTCTCATGGTTCTGTTGATTCTCAAGGAGCAGCAACTTGACCAGTTCTCCCAGGAGCAGGCAAAATCCCTGCAACAGAAACACCTCAGGCTTGAGAAGGAAGCGCCCTTTCAGACTGACCTTTGCATGTTGAGTGTGCCTTCACATCCTGGTGCAAATCACGTGTACCCAAGAACTCTGGCTTTGTCACAACACGTTACCATCGTCATGCCAGCAGTGACTTCCACAAAATGTTAAACCTGGTAACCAGAAACTGTTGGTGGCTCCAAGCGTGTTAGATGTTTGTGAAATGTGACCACCTATCAATCATGTCTGAGGGCTAATGAGTAGCAAAATCAATCACTGGAAATCATGGGAGCATCTGTCCACATCTATGTTTCCTTATGCATCTGGGCATTTCATCATCAGTTCCCTCACTAAAATGTAGCATCAGGATGCCTAGAGAGGGGAAATGATTTTAGCACCCACACCCACACTCTTATGCCTGGGAGGGATGTCTTTGAAGAGAAATTGGGGCACTGGATACTGTCTTGAGGATATAAGCTTCTTTAGTGAGCTTCAAATCCAGCTGCCAGTGAATGAAATGCCTCAGAAAGGAACTCAAATGACTCAAAGCAGCAGACAACACCAGCGTTGTCTTCAGTCCAGTGACATCACCTGGTGTCTTCTGGATGCTTTGTGCCAACCTGGGACTGCCTGACTTCTTTTAGCCTGGTCCCTTGCTACTACCTTGAATTGTTTGTCTAACTTCTCTTTCTGTTTAATTCTTTACTACTGCCATTAACCCTGCTGCAGGATTTGTGTCATCCTTCCTGCCTGGTTGCTGAGACTCCATTTTGCTGCCACGCACGGAGAAGAAAGAAGCAGGCTTTGAGGAGCGTGTGTTTCAGCACACAGTTGCCAGTTGCCAAAACACAGTTTAAGCAGTAGAAAACAAGATGGTATATGCTTCAAATTGCCTATCAGGAAGAGGAGTCTAATAGTGAAGTTTCATTTTTCGTCAACATCATCTTTCACATATTCATTAGCATCCTTATTATTGCATGTTTAAATACTTAAATGTTTTAGCTGTAGATTAGTGGTGTCCTTTAACAGTGTTTTTAAGTGGTGACTGCTCAAATATTATTTCCATTGAATTACAAAGTACTATTCAATTCTTACTGTGTTAGAGTTAAGCTAATTAAAATAGATAAGTAATGTAGTGTAAAATACTTCCTTACTGTGAACTTCTCTTACAAACACTGTGAATGAGAGGCTCCTCGGAACTGGAGTTTTGTATAATAGTTCATCCTGTTCATCTTCAATCTTCTATTTTAACATCATATATAATTTCAATTTTATCAATTAGGCCTTTAAAAATCACACAGGAAAAAAATCCATGAATTCAAAGAAGATATATACCTAATTGGCTGTTTTTAAAAAATCCACAAATTTAAAGCAGATACCTAATTGGCTATTTAATCCAAAAAACTTTCTTTTTCTTTTTCAATGGAATCAGAGAACTTGTCCGTCACTCATGTGTTTTAGAGTATGTGATTCTTTTTACACGGTGCATTTCTGCTTCTGGACTGTTTGAAGCGTCACTTCAGTTTACCTCAGATATCAGTCCATCCTCCATATAACTGAATTCAAGTTGTGTTGTGTCAAATTTACAGTTGTCAATTGATCTTCAAGCTGCAGGGGGCCTAGAAATGGGTCATTGTCTGCAGTGCCAGCATGTGCACACGGACATTTGCCATCACTGCAAGCAAAAGTCTGGAGATGTTGGCCAGCGACAACAGTGGTCAGGGAGACCGTGGTGGTACGGGTTTGCAACTCACGGCTGAAGTCCCCTGACACACTCATGGCTGTTTAGTAAAGCTTGTGAAAAACTTTTGGCAGTGTGTACTATGTTCTATTGCTATATATGCTATCTAAATGTAGGTGTTAAGGATAAGTAATCTCCAGTTTATTCTATAGCATCAGGATTTTATTAAGTATCCTTGTAGTCAATTGATGTATTTTGTTGTTGTTGATCAAACTTATGTTAATTGGAGACTTTAAATTGTTTTGGCATTTTCGAACACAGATGCCTTTATTCATAAGAAAGGAACAAGCAAAGTAATTAAAGTAATTAAAGAAGTTAGAAAGAGAGCAAAATAAAAACATAAAGGAGATAAATCAATCAAGATCAATTATTAAACAAAGCCAATAGTCAACCCTTTGAAACATATTGGCAAAATTGATTGACTTGTGGCCTAAATTTGCAGTGTTATTTTTAAAAATTCAAGACGGTACGAACTCTCATTTTTAGGCAAACTTGGAGAGAACTAGCTAAGGTCATCATGCTAGGATAGTGAAGTTTACATATATTTCTGAAGGGTCAATTTAGTTTGAGCAATGAGGTATTTGTGTCCGATGCTGGAAAATGAAGAGTTAGTTTGATGAAAGCATGTGAGGAAGCGCAGTGAACTAGCAGGTGCACAAAAGAGGGGCACATCTATATAGTGCAGTCTGGATTTCTGTTTAAGTTCGCAGGTACCTCTTAGACTCCTGAATTGATCCAGTTGTCATCTGCCACAGACGTCTAACATCAGATTGAATTCCGAGATTGGCAACAGAGAACAGTGCTGGGAAAGACCTGGGCGGAACTGAAGCACCACCTGCGGAGATGGAAACCCGGGTGGGAGCCACAGTACATTTTCATCTGAAGAAAGAATGCACATCTTGTGGGAATGAAAGTTCTTTGTTGTTTCAGACTGTAGAATGCTATCCAATCGGTCTGTGGAAAATTGCATTGCTTTTATTTCTTTGTGTAATCAGTTTAAGTAATAGGGGATATATATAATCATAGGTAATTTTAGGGTGGGAGGGATTATTAAGTAATCTTAAAGGGGTGGGATTAGTTAAACAGCATGATTATTATTAGATATCTTTATAAGTAGGCATAAGTACTCAGTTGTGATCCGTTATCCAATGAATGCTACCCTTAATGATTTCAAATAAATTCGGAGGGAACTGCAGGGAGATTTACCTATTTAGGGTGACTTAAACATGGAAAAACCCTAGTGGGATAAAGTCCAAAGGTGATCACATAGATCATTTAATAGAGGCTCTTTGCCCTGAGTATTAACTCCAGGGACCAAGATTGTGAGCAAAGCCTTTAGAGAGTTACAGGGTGGATAGGCACCCTTTGAGAAATTGTTGCTGAAATGACACTGATAGTGATGAATGGCGACCTTTCATGGAAGCTACACAAATATGATGAATAAGAAATGAAACTGATGAATAAGAAACGTTGCTCCCACCAGTGGCCCTCCTCTTTACCTCTGCCTCTTCTCCTTACCCCACACGTCCTGCCTACCCGTTGCACAGCCCTGCCCTTCCCCATTATTATTGCTGTATTCTCTTTACTCTCTATTTCTCTCAAAGTACTAATATTGATTTGATGTTATAATAAATTCAATTAATAAAGATTTAGTGGTTAAGTGCAAATTGTGTTTTGATCATTTCAGCGCCCACCAGCGTCAAGGGAACATGGTGGGGGGCTGGGGGGGGTGAAGGAGTGGACAGGGTGGGGAAATGAACAATGGGGGGGAGTGGACGGGTAGGGAGTGGTGGGGGAAGGAAGATGGAGGAATGAGGAGGGTGGAGCAGTGGGGGGATGGGATGGGGATGGGAAGAAGGGTATGTGGAGTTAGGGGTAAGTTTGGAAATTAGGGGGAGTGGAATAAAGAATACATTCATCAAGCAAGCCAGTAACAATCCATAATACTCCAGGAAACCAACTAAGTTATTACAGCAGCAAGACTTGTGTAAAATAAAGTCACAGTTAATAGTGACTATGAACATAATATTTAAAAAAAAAAAAAGCTGCAAAGCTTTAACATTAAAAAGGCACATGATTCAATTAACAATATATAAAAGTTTATTTTTTAATACCAATTTTCCTTGGAATACTTGATATTTATTAGTTGAAAATTATAAATAAACATTAGTGAGGACAAAAAGGGAGACAAACCAAATGAAGTCAGGTAGTGATGTGTGGGAAATTCACATACAGATTTTTTAATTTTTTTCTTTATTGATATTAGAAGAAGGGAGAGGGAGAGAGAGAGAGAAACACTCATGAAAGAGAACATCGATTGGCTGACTCTAGCATATCCCCCACTGGGGATCTGGCCCACAACCTGGGCATGTGCCCCGACCTGGAATCCAATCTGTGACCTCTTGGTGCATGGGGTCGACACTCAACCACTGAGCCACACCAGCCGGGCAAAAGATGTTTTGAATACCAATTAACACAATATCAGAGTGATTGTGAAAGTCATCTAAAGAAAAGTGACAAATGAGGTTTGTGAGGTCCTTTTTCTATCAGATTTTAAAAACATGACTTGAGAGTTGTAGAATAATAGGTTGCATACAAAAAACCTGAATTAACCCTGGCTGGTATGCTCAGCGGTTAGAGCGTCGGCCTGCAGCCCAGAGAGACCTGGGTCCAATTCCCGCTAAGGGCACGTACCTCGGTTGCAATTTGTCCCCGGCCCTGGTTGGGTCATGTGGGTGGCGACCACTCAATGTGTCCCTTTCACATCGATGTCTCTCTCTCTTACTCTCTCTCCCTCCTGCTCTGTCTGAATAAAAAATGAAAAAATGTCCTCTGTTGAGGATGAAAAAAAAACCTGAATTAAATAGTGCTAATCACTTGAATACATACAAGTTGAACTATCGTGCTGCACACCATAAGCACACAATGATGTATGTCATTTAGGTCTCAATAAAACTGGAAAAGAAGAAAAAAAACAAACAAATTGCCAGCCCATCCCCACCCTGGCCCAAAACAAATAACACACAAACTGAAAAGAGGACTCTTGATGTATGTTTTGAATAGTTCCTGGGTTCATATGACATGGTGGTCACATAAACACTGGTTTATTGAGAAGGATACATGGAATATGATGACTAGATAGGAAGATCTGGGGTAATATGAAAACACAACTACAGCCCTGGCCGGTTTGGCTCAGTGCTTAGAGCATTGCCCTGCAGTCCAGAGAGACCCAGGTTCGGTTCCTGCTAAGGGCACGTACCTCAGCTGCAGTGTCCCTGGCCCTGGTTGGGTCATGCAGGTGGCAGCCACTCGATGTGTCACTTTCACGTCGATGTTTCTCTCTCTCTCTCTCCCTCCCACTCTATCTGAACAAAAAAATGGAAAAATGTCCTCGGGTGAAAAAAAACACACAACTAACTACAAACTCTCCTGGGGAATGGTACCCTGAATAGTTGTCCACTTGGCCCAGAGTTCACAGAATTCCACGAAGTGCAGTGTGGTAGGCAGAACGGAGAAATTGGGAGGGGTGCACAATCAAATGACTATCCCTTGCCTGCTTGGAGGGTTACTAATTTAAACAATATTGTATAAAATCTTGTAATCACTCTGAAAGGAAACTGAAATGTCCTATTCATCCCTGTTTTTATACCTAGGCTCCTCCCATTCTGACCCCCACTTCTCCCCATAAATCACATGATTAAATAAAACTTAAGGGAAACAATGTAAGTTGCTGAGCCTCAAGACTGTATTACATTTGATTATGCAGCTGGATTGCAAGGCTTGTCCAGAACATTAAACTCACTGAACACAGCGATAGTAACATTTGATGAAACCTATACCAATTTTATGAAAGAAGTGGCTTCCCAGAGGAATATCAACCAATCTATTTATAGCTGCAGAAATTGCTTAAAGAGCCCCTCTTACCAAGTGTAGTCCACATTAGTCATTAATGAAAACAATTGTTTAAAATGAGGATAATACTGTATTAACTTAAAATGCATAAATGTACATTCATTGGTCAATCTTGCTGGAGGCCTGTTTCACTGATTGGAGCTCTGAGTTACCATTCTTGAATAAATTATATCAGTAATACAAAATAAGTAATACTGGGAAAATACAGAACTTTCAAAAATATATAAGAGCAATTAAATACTAGTGTAGAGGAGAATCACCTGATTCTTACCTTAAAAAACACATTAACACAGCCAGTGTGGCTCAGTGGTTGAGCATCAAACCATGAACCAAGAGGTCGCTATTTTGATTCCCAGTCGGGACACGCGCCCAGATAGATTGTGGGCCCAATCCCCAGTGGGGGGCATACAGGAGACAGCCAATTAATGTTCTTTCGCGTTGGTGGTTCTCTCTCCTCATCTCCCTTCCTCTCTCTCTCAAATCAATAAAGAAAAAAAAAATACACTAATGAATTTTAGATAAACCATGAACTACAAGAAGAAAGAAGAGCTTAATAATGGGGAGGGTGCCCTGGCCGGTTTGGCTCAGCGGTTAGAGCATCGGCCTGCGGTCCTGAGAGACCTGGGTTCGGTTCCCGCTAAGGGC